AAATGTAAATTGCTAAACAAATAATAGACGAAAACGTTAAAGTTTACATTCATTTTAAAGCGTAGCCATTCAGTGGGTTGTTTCTTAAATTTGACTCATTGGTTCGCGAGTAATAATACTTTACGTTATTGCGATTGGAGATTAAAAAAATTGAGATGGAATAACAAATCGTTCTCATGAAAATAACTGATTTTTTCATTAAAACAAAAAATGTTGCATTTTATTAAATGGATTGTAACAATAAGTATAATTACGGCTTTTCTTCCGCTATTTTTAACTCAGTTTGAAACTTCAAATGCGATATAATTTTGGCTTGGACCATCTAAGCTGACTGACATCAACTTGCTATAATTTCTGTTTACATTACATCGCAATTCGATGACACTCTGGCTCAGACACCAGAATGTTTTGACGATTTTTAGCATTCGTTTAAGATTTTCAAACAACCTGGTCTCTTTTAAAATACTTTTAATTTGTTCTTACGTGGTTTTCCAGATGTAGTGACGACAACATTAAAGTTTAAAGAAGAACATTCTAACATTTAAACCGACTAAACAATAACATAGTAAACTTGCATAATTAAACAGCAACTAAAAATGATAGGTTTTACTAAATCTTTTCCTGTGCAATTATTACTAGCATTGGAGACAAGGATAATAGTTTGTTTGAAAGAGAAAAGAACAGGCTTTGAAGCAAGCCTAAAAGCGTTTAACTAGAAATAGTATTTCGAAAGTTATTAAGCACAAAAGATGAATTGCGTTTATTTTGATACACCCTGTAGTAACTTACCGGACTTCAACACGACAATCTTTTAAACCAGTTCATGGTATTCTTATATTTATTTAATTAATCATACTTACCATTTGTAAACTGAAGATTTTTACCGTGATTAAATAAAATTGTATTGTGTTGCGTTGCGTTGCGTTGCGTTGCGTTGCGTTGCGTTGCGTTGCGTTGCGTTGCGTTGCTTTGCTTTGCTTTGCTTTGCATTGCATTGCATTGCATTGCATTGCATTGCATTGCATTGCATTGCATTGCATTGCATTGCATTGCATTGCATTGCATTGCATTGCATTGCATTGCATTGCATTGCATTGCATTGCATTGCATTGCATTGCATTGCATTGCATTGCATTGCATTGCATTGCATTGCATTACATTGCATTGCATTGCATTGCATTGCATTGCATTGCATTGCATTGCATTGCATTGCATTGCATTGCATTGCATTGCATTGTATTGTATTGTATTGTGTTGCACTGCGTTGCGATCTAAGGCTGGTATACTTTAATTTAGGCTATTATAATTATTTGCGGTAGTAATCATGTGTTTACAAAATGCTCCGCCGTCCACCGTCCGCCTTTTATCTGTCCGCCTTTCAGATCTACACGTCCCCCATTGAACGCCTTTTTCGGCGAACTGGAGTGAAACTGGACTTAAAACTGCTATGTTTTCGACTTTCCCATATTATAAGTATAGGTAATAGCATGGTTTCGAGTGCAATTTGGATATAACATGCGCGAGTCGGCAACCTCGTTCCAAGGCGAGTGAGTTTTTCAAGTCCGAAGGACGAGTGTTATTTGAGGTCTTTCAAAAACTCACGAGTGCTTGTGTATCCGGCCAAATTTCACGGGAAACCATGCTATTACTCATTAATAATTTACATAAAAATGTTCTAGACAATTGTAGTTTTAACTTACGGTTTATAGCGAACATTCCACTGGCAAAGTTTTCCGTGCTTTGTTATATCGCATTATATTATACAACACTAACCGGTTGAAAATTCCACTCAACAGCGAACCTTTTGTTTGTCTTGTTTAATAAAGGTAAAGGCTTTTCCATTCGAAAATAAATATAAAAGCCATAATTTCCACACGAAGTCTTGGTCGATTTTATCATCACAATGTTTTTCCACCAATCAGATCAGTTTGTTACAGATATTTGCACTGTTGTTACAGATTTTTGCACTGCTGTTTGTGATTAACTGCACTGAAATCAACAATGCAATCACGGTCGAGTAATATTTTTATGTATATTATTATATTGCAAATATATATGTTGTTACCGTTTTATCTTTGTCAATAATTATTAACATGCAGAAAGTTAAAACCCTGTATATAAGTCTTAAATGTCGAATTATTGTTGACTGTTTTAAAGCTATTCTTGGGTTTCACTAAGGCATTATGCAGTGAATCTGATGGGGGGTCAACCTCGAATGTGTTGATGCTTATGCCGCTGTACTGGAGTGAGAAAATGATGCGAAATTCCGGTATTTGCCACCAAACACAAGGCTAATACATAAAACGAACAATCGACTCACTCTGATAACTGTGTTTTGTTTTAGAGTTGACCTTCCGTCACTTCTTGTGACGGCATATGAAACCCAAGAATAGACAGTTAAAAAAATTGAATTTCAGCAACTCGCGAAGAAACCACTTAAGCTACGTTTACATGCTACGATTAATCGTGTACGATTCGTATTCTGGCGTATTAAAATGAGTGCTGGCGCCATAATTCTTTGCCGTTTGGTTAAAAAGTAATTTCAAATGTAGCCAGCTTACGCGTGTATAGCTACTCAATGACACGCCAGAAAACGAATCGCACACGATTAATCGCAGCGTGTAAACGTAACTTTATAAGCCTGATACTTAATTTCTATTTATGTGTCTTAATTTGGGGGCATAAAACATATTCTAGGAATTGAAATCCCGCAATTGAAATCCCCAAATCCCCGCAAGACAGATTACTGTCATGCAGTATGTGTTTCGTCTATAAAATTAATAATCAAGAAGAACTGTCTAATCGATGGTAAGATCCATGCTGCATAGAGGAACAACGATGAAAACATTTAGATAGATATGGGGACTTAGCAAGCTGTTCGACAGATGTCGTGGAAATGAATATATTAGAAAAATGCACAGTCATGCGCATGTTTTATCTTGTTCATATGAATATTTTACATCCGTTATAGTAGTTGTTTCTACTATATGCAAGCATGTGCGCTTAGTTATAAACTGACTGGAAATTAACTGCATAGATGAATATTAAGATTCATACATTTACAAACACAGAATACAGAGGCCTCATAGAAGAGAAAAAGAGAAAAAGAAAAATTATGTCGATAATTAATATTAATGGTGTTAGTGCTATAAAAAGAAAGTAGTATTATGGGCCTATGAGTTGGCAAAAAATATTTACAAAACAAATCATGTAGATTTTATTTTAAAATTTAATGTCAGTTCTGTATCTTGCTACGTTTTGAATGTTCTGAGTTGGTTTGTGATCAAGTAGTGCAGTTATGTGTTAAATGATTATTTAAAATCACCTATATACACGATAAAATAGCCTTCACATGTACACATATATACCTACTCTAGATTTTGAAAATTTTCCCTCAAAATTAATTTTACTATATTAATATGAATGGAAAGTCTAGGAATCCAAATACTGCCCCTAGCTCCTCGGAATATTTCAGCCCATGTCATTTACTAGAACGTGAGCCGAAATAATCCCAGGAGCTATTGGCAGTGTATAGAATAAATTCCTTATGCATGTATAAGGCCACGTTGCGCTTCTTAACTCCCCACTCCTCCGACTTCATGTCGTGTCATGATAAATTACTAAAATTAGTTCTTGTACTAAAATTATTAAATACTACTAAAATTACTAAAATTAGTTCGTTGATGCCCACCACAAAATTTAAATTGAGGATGATGAAGTTTGTTAAATTATTTTGTAAAGTACATTAACGTTGCAATATTGCGAGGAATGATTTCAAGGATCATGTCGAAAATTAGAATTCTAGGTATGCATTTCACTCGATGTAGAAGTAAGTGTAGAATGTTTTTTGGTGAGTCAGGTTTCGACAACTTGTAAGTTGTTTCAAGTTTTACTGGCTAAAGGCCCTGTCACACTATTGCGTGTCGTACTAGCGTATGAAAAATATCATCATACGCCGGTATACGCTGACATATGCTAGGGGTACGTTATAGGCATAGGTTTTATACGTTTCAAGCACGGTCGCATACGGTGCATGGCAAACGCTGGCATACATCGAGGCAGAATTTTTTTTTAAGCATGCTCAAAAATTTTGTGCGTATTCGGACGTATGCTTTATATGATAAGCATACTCTAGACACACGCTGAATACGCTAGAGGTAGGCCAGATGTACGGTACTCATACGCTGGCATTTCAAAGGATTTTTGTGCGTATGAAAATTATTTCATTAATTTGCATACGCTTCTCATACGTTTCTCTCATACGCAATAGTGTGACAGTGCCTTAAGATGCAGGGGCAGTTGCGAAACCGCAACTACAATATATAGACCTTCTAGCATGAACATCACCGCTACGTAATTTCACTCGAAATATTCATCTTCGATTGGAATTATGTCGGACATTCTAGATCATCTCGCAATTCGCCCACTTTCAACGGCATACTTTTGATGTCAATCCGCCTAGTTTTGTACGTTATAGATATTACACTTATCGTATCTAATTAGTTTGGGTATAACAGTCTTATTTTTAACCTAAATATTGGACTTCAAAATCCTAATATCGGGATTCAATTTTATGATGCCATATTCACGGATCGCTATAGCAACCGGCGGAGTTATGGAGTGTGGCCCAGCGCCCAATATTTGTTCATGAGTGATTTCGGGTAAATTTCGAGGTCGTTCAAGTTGATATTCAGGTGAACTATAACAGCATTTGTAAGGCAAACTTGGAAATTAAAAGAGAAAGCGAGTAAATTTCATTTGCATTTTGGGGTATTCTGAGGGTCTAAGTTTTCAAATTTTTCTCAGGCGAGCATTCCCCCGACGTCCCCTAGTATATTTAGCCCCGCATCCCATTGTGTTGACATATTCTTCCCATCGAAACACCTGCTACTTGAGCATAGACATCAGAAAATCGCACTAAATTTCAAAAGCTGCTTTCCGGTTAGGTAACATTAACACAATTTTTATGTTCAAACTTTGTTTCAGAAGATAACGCAACAATGAACGATCAGCCAAAGGAACAGTTTGCGCGAAACATAGTTAAAGTGATTCTATACAGCAGTGCTATACTACTAAACATGTGGCTACTCTTCGTGTTATGGCGGGATCCAATGAAGCGATTCCGAAATTCGCCTTCCTTTATCATCGCTAATTTAGCATTGGTTGATATTGTCGCCGCCATTGGGGGACTTGGATCGTTCGCCGTCATTTTCATGTGTAATACGTGTGTAGATAGTCACAAATTATTCGGATGTATACAAACTGTTGGTCTACAAAATTCGTTTGTTTTTATAACGCTGTTGGCTTTCGATCGCTTCCTTGCAATAAGCCATCCATACAGATACAACATGATTTTTGGTAACAAACGTTGTGGTGCTTTCCTTTGCATCCTGGGTTGGGCGATTGGTTTAACTTTGGGTCCTTCCGTACATTATCTTGAGTTAAAAGGGTCAAACCATTCACTTGTTCTTCACAAACTGTATGTGATTAATGTTGCAGTTCTGGCTATGATAACAGCTACACTCTATCCTTTGAACTATTACAACTATTTGCGCAAGAAACGGTTTTTGAGTGCATCGATACATCCAGACCAAGCAATGGAAGATCTACGATTAGCTCAAAAATTGAGTGTGAGTTCAATGATTGCAGCTACAGTACTGCTCGCCTATATGGCTCCGTATATTATTACCCTTGTATATTCTTTGAACAATTGCATGAAATGTCTCACCGAAGAAAGATTCAGGAAGTTTTGGGTCAACTATCAAGCTGTAATTGGCCTTATACTGCTCATTAATCCAATAATCTATGCCTGGAGGCTACCACTGTACAGAAAGTCTTCAATAGTAGTCGCAAAAGACCTCCTCAATATGATTAAAAGGAGGAGAACAGCCAACCAATCTTCAGACAACAGTAATAACACCAGCAGCAGAATTACAACCATGCTAACGAGTTCCACAGCAGGAACGAATGATGTGAATGTCTCCATGATATAGTTTTGCCAAACTTTATCTATTTTAATCATTATTCTTCTAGAGAAGGAGAGTTATTTAGTTGAATCCCAGAAAAGGGTATTTGTCAATCAACACCTTTCCACAAAGAGTAAGGGTAACTTTCTGGAATGGAATGGCTGCTTTATATCATTATTTTACAATCATGACAATTTCTTAATAATTATGAAACTATAATATTTCTGGTTAGTCTTCATGTCAATTTGAAGAATATTGATGACTTGTTCAGCGTTAATCATTTTGTGCTTGTCTTTGCTGCTTATACTCACAGATTGTAGCAAAGCTTAATTAGTTAGCAAATTATAGATTCGGTTCATTTTTAGGTGCAAACAGCGAGTCATTTCTCGATTCCAGAATGGTATATGAACCAATAAAAAACGTTAAGAGTCCGTTTTGATCTGATGGAGTAATTAGCTTACCCTTTGAAACAGTGATTTTTACTTCAATAAGGCGTCAATTGTACTCCGTCTTAAAATGACCCAAAAACGTAATCAAACTTTATCTTTTAAATAAATGTTTCAGACGTTTTAAAGCATTTATTGAAACAAATGCAAGACAACATTTTGATGCTGGTTTAAATTTTTTAATTAACCTACATTTTGTAACATTTTCATAATTACAACTATGCCTGCATGATATTTCATCACGCATAGTTTTCTGAGACAATTCCGGAAAACGAGAAATGATCAGCTCGGTTGATCGAGTTCACTTGGCACGGAATAACCGCTGTCCCAGCCTCAAACGGGACAGCATGATTCTCATGTAACCGAAATTATGAAACAAGAGGTAATAAATAAATACGAAGCTAAGCTAGTGTGTCACTCGTTTGAACGGACCATCACGGTTAACCGGGGCAATTCACTCCAAATAATCAGCCTAGTCAGACGACGTTCCTATAAACTTGTTTGTTAATAGATTCAAGATGTGTTTCAGGAATCTAAAAGAAACCAAATTAGAGTGCCACTTAAAAATATAGGTATAATAGATTGGTTTGGAGTGTAATTTAGAATAATAAACGTACACGAATGAGCTTTTCAAAGACGATCAATGAGAGACGAGAGCAGTTTGAAATCATTAAAAACTCACGAGTGTTTTTTCTAAATTGGACGAGGAACCATCACTAATACTAATTAATAATATATATGAAAAAGTTACGTGGAACTAGCACTTTTTGTGATCACTTGCAAGCATGAAACATGCACATGCTAAACAAATTATTTAGTAGTAGGCGGCATCTCAATATCATCTCTCATCTATATAGTCTCATTTGAAAGGATGTTTAAAATTATCTATGAAATCTTGTTAAAGATTTTTCATATCAAGCTTAACCCTTGGAAGATTTTGACCGCCATCTTGGATTAATCGTTAATTCTTAACCTCATTAAGTATCGTTCTGATGACATCCGGAGTGTGATTAGCCTTTTAATTACTGTCGATGCAATGGAAGTGTTGATAAAATATTGCATGAATTCATTTCCTCAAGTTGATCAATTCATACGAATTCAAATTTCTTTTTACTTCCTGTGCGTTTCCTATTGGTGAATCAGTTCTGAAACGAAATCTAATTGGCTCATATAAAAGTAACAGGAAGTTGATCAATTTTCTATCAAATGAATTGATCAGCTTGAGGAAAGGAATTGGTGCAATATTTTATCAACACTTCCATTGCATCGACAGTTAAATTAATTCAAAGTTACTCATACTATTTCACGAATCAAGCAAGATATGGAAAATTTGTAACACGATTTTGAAAATAATTTTAACCGTTCCTCCAAATGAGACAATACAAAATTATATTTGCATTTAAATTAATTGATAAAAATTCACTCCCCTCAGCCAATCGGAATTGACTATTTTTTCATGCAATGGCCAAACAGATTAATGCATATGCGGCTATTGTTTCAAAATATTCAAACATACTGTATATTATAGCGTATATAAATGAGGTAGGTGCTTTAGGGAAGAAAGAAGAGAGCTTGGACTGATTATAAGTAATACCATGATGTGAGGGAAATTAATATATAATCTTTGTTCACTGTTCAAAATGTATACACGTCATGGGTCAAAATCGATCACGTGTGCTTTTGCTACCTGGCAACAACGAATCCTGCGAATGCGTTATTGACAATAACGCATAATTACTCGAGTCGATGAGGAAGAAATTAATCAGATTATAGAGGATGCAATAGCTAAAAGTACGAAAAGACTGGAGCATTGCTATCTTCAGAAGTCAGTAAACCAAGCAAAAACTTATATTATTCCCCATTCCTATGTGTAATCAAGTGCTCAAAAAGTTGCATGCAAGCAGTGAACTCTGAATATATTAAACGAGTTAGAGACTGTAAAGTTCTTTTTTTTACAAATATACGCACTTGCTGATCGTACAATGAACTCGAAATTTTCAATACTGCACTCGAATTCGCCTCGTGCAGTATTGAAATTTCTCGTTCATTGTACGATCAGCGCGTGCGTATATTTGTAAACAAAACACTCACTCACCCTTAAATAGTGATTAAATGTTCCCGAAAGCCAAGGGAGCTAGGTCTGTGGAATTCCACAAACCTCCCAAGGGTGCACGAGGCGTCATCGATTCAAAGTGAGGAAGAGGAAATCATGGCAGAGAATTAGCATTTTTCTAGTTCAGAACATGCGCGATATAGAAATCCCTTAAAGTGCGCATGACATGAAATTTCTTGTTTTCTCAAACGAAAGTCCTTAAAGTTGAAGTGAAACTTATTTTTCAGTTTCTTGTTTTTATTGTTTGTTCCCGAGATATTTAATAATAATAATAATGGAAACTTTATTATTTTCAATAATATATATATATACACACTACAATGATAAACCTCTCTTTACAGGTAGTTTACCAGTGTCTACTTGAATTAACACTCTACATAATAACAATATTAGTATGACATTAGTTGTGGGTTATCCCATTCTTTGTTACGCTTACAGAATATATAATACGAGGACCTGATACATATATGTTAATAATTTTCCGAACATAGTACTTTCTACATTGTTCATCAAACTTTAGATCCTTCAGCATTTCGGTGAAATCTAGCGACGGATGGCTGAAAACTCCTAATGAGCTAATCGATAAATTTACAAATTTTACTTTTTCATAATTTTTGAGCTGTTCGTTAATTAGATCTTGATATTTTTGTCTTTTTCGAGTTGCATTAGTGAGGAGATTAGATTCAAATCCGACGGTAAGTTCAAGTATATAAATACATTTGTTTTCAAGTGTTATCAAAAGATCAGGGCGCAATTCAACTCCGGTGATAACAGATGGACTGATATAGCCAGGAAGGTCAGCATAAAGGTTACAATGGTTCACAGATTTAAGTATGGATGCTATGAAGTTAAGCACCGAATCATGACGCCACGTGAAACGTCCTTCATTTAGGTAGGTCTTGCATCCAGCGACGACGTGAAGAAGTGATTCTGGATTCAAACAAAACGAACATTCGGATGTTGGTGATATTCCCCATTTCAGAAGGTTTTTGCGAGTC